AATGGATGGTTTCTTCAAAGATACAGCACAATAAATGTACAGATTAGCCTACCCGCCTAAACTTTGGTGAAATTATGGGAGCAGAGGCGGGGCTCCCCATCGCAACTGCTCGAAATTCGCGCCTGGGAACAGCACCAGATTTCGATGTGGAAGAAAAAGGACGGAGAGTAATGGCACCACGAGACAGTTCCAGAGGAGAAGCCTGTGTTTCATTCTTTTCAATTTCATCAACAGGGGAGGGAGAGGGCCGAAAAGTAACGACATTGACGCGCTTTCTTGAAGAGGTAGTGGTTTTGGGAGAGGATGAGTCGCCCTTTCCTCCACTTCCCCTATTGCCACGACTCAATTGCTCAAACCGCTCGCTCGGTCGCGAGCTACGAGTGGCGAAGGTCCGATAGGGCATCTGAAAATCAAATACGATAAAAGAAATCCCCAATCTCTAGAAAATTACACAAAACCCGAATCGTACCATAATACTCACCGCTATCTATGAACTCATAACACAAGTCGATAATATTTAGACCAGTCTACTTACCGTTACCTAATAATCGAGTGAAATGAACTTGAATACCAGCAAAAAGAGGGTATGTACAAGTGTGAAGAAGTCTACATGTAACGAACAGCAAGTAATCCTTCTAACACCACGTTTAGTAATAAGACAGCTCCAATAGTGCGAAATCAAAAAGAATTTGTGCAGTTAGGCTGCGCGTGTCAGCCTGAATTAACAGATCCGAAATTCAGCGAAGGTGATATCAACTTGAAGAAGCCTATTAGTCCTGTAGCACGTAAGTAAGGATGTTATGAAGGCGTTTGAACAAGTATTGAAGTAGTAATAAATAGACACAGGAGACACCATGTCAAATAATTATGTAACTAATGTAGGACATCGTGTAACTGTGTAAAAAGCAATTTACAACCCGAAATATTACAAAAGAAGCGAGTAAAAGAGTTTGATCTCCAAAAATATACGCATAGAAACAAAATTAATATGCCTAATTAAAGGACGTCAAAAGGGTTCTAAACGATGAACAAGCAAGTAAATAACAAGGTTTTGTAATAATGAACGGCATAGCATGGAAACACATGCAATGAAAGGACCTACATCCATAACTCAGACGAAAATACCATTCATTAGCATCCAAAAATGTGTTCAGAAATCACCTCAGACAAACAATAAAACTAATTAAAGTGCAATTTGTAAGATCAGAATACTGCTTAAAATCTGATAATTTCTTAAAATACCATTTAAAGCGTTTTTATAAAAAAATTATAATTATTAAATATTAGAATAATTTGTTTTATAATAAGGGTTGAAATTATTAGCGTTACACTTCTATGTTACACGTTAAAAAGAGGACGGTCATGCAAGTAGCACTTAAATGCACCCCACTTGCAATAAAGCAATAAGCAATAATAAGTAATATTTGTGAGTTTGTTCTTTAGAATGATGTTTCTATGGGGAAGATAACTAATTATCTGTGTTGCTTTTTGGTTAGCTTTTCTTCCTCTCACGCCTTCCCTTCCCGACAATGTCCAAACACTGATGTTGTTTAAACATTCGGCTAGCTTGTTTACTTTGCCTCGAAGTTGTCTGAGTTTTGCATTCAAGAAAGATGTTGAATACCAATCGCCATTAACCCATCTCTAAACATCTCGTCCGCCTCCCTAAGTATCGTAGCGCTTAGAATGTGGGTGTCAGGTCTACTGTTTCTTAGAAAAGTGGAGAAGTCGTTGCCACCAGAGGACTTGACTCACAACTTAAACACACCCAAAAGTGTTAAAAGCAGTTTTGTGCTGCCTAACTACAGTGCAACACTCAAAAATGAGACTTGCTGCAACGCTTCTCCCCTAGAATTGCCACCGATTAGAAGAAGGCATCGAATGGACTTGAGTGCTCATGTGATGATAGAACTTGAAAAGATTGGGCTTCGCTTGGTCTGTTCGTAATTTTTCACTCTTGTTCAGATGTTTTTGGTCATAGTGGGTTGGAACAGAATAGAGAGGCATCGAGTCACAATCGTTTTTTGCAAAATTCCCTAAGAAGGTGGCTCGTTTGCTTGAGAAGGTGCAGTAATTCAAGCGGTAAAACTTTCTAAAATCAGAGCAGCATCCGATTAAATAAGTGCTTCAGAAACTCATTTTGGGTCATTGATCAACTTGATGTGAAACGTTTTGGTACTTTCTATTCGGTAGTAAGTCATTTGGCATGGCCATTCGGGCTTGCTTCAAGTCTTCGCGTTACCCGCATTCCAATCCTGCTGAAAGTCAGTAATGCACAGGTTGCTGTGGTATCGTGATATGAACGTAACCTGTTAAGATTTAGGGCAGTTAGAGGTTATCTGCGTTTCCACTGACAGGAGGACTTTGCTAAACCACTTGATTTTCAATCTTGACTTCTATTTTTAAACCAGATGGGGACTTCAGATGTCACGTCCACTGCGTTCGAGATCGATGGAATAATCGACTCACCCTCCTCTTGATCATATTTTGAGGGGAGTCGTCTTTGCCTCTTGATCGTCAACCTTACCACTACCTCTTCCAACTTAGACCCTGAATAAAGGAATAGGGAGTTAATCAATTTCTCCTCCTGTGCTTCTTTGGGTTTGCATATTAATGGCTAAGAAGCCATTAACTCGTGGATGTACTCCAGAGTTCGCTTATTACCTTCTGAACTCCCTTGTTAGACTTCAGTTCTGTTGCTCGCCAACTTCCATGAGGCGACCAATGAGGAGCGAATGGCTTAAGGAAGGAAGACGATTTAAGCCATTTAATTACAACCTTTTTACAGGACTTGAATTGATCACTATGGCATGGTAATCACAGCCACTAATCTTCGCATTTACCAGTCCTAATACTGTGCTATTTTAGCAGGAGATGAATTTATAATCTGCTTCCCACCAGAGCAATGAGTTCCCTAAGGTTCATGCAGAGTAATACACGAACTGAAGGAGTAGTCCTTCGACAGTATCAACGGTACCGTCAGTGCTTTGATATCCAAAGGGTCTCAGGCGAGCTATTTGACAGTGAAATCATTAAAATTGCCTTTCAAGGATGGAGAGAGACTCGCCGATTATTGACATTGGTTTCATTAGCTAAGGGGTTTAGCAGATGTTATGAGATCTGTT